TTCGGCCACCGCGGTTGAGGCGCATTTCCCCCCACACACACCCCCACGAGTCGACGGGGCAAGCAGGGGAGGCACGGGACAGCATGAATAGCGGGCTCACAGGGGCTGTTGCGCAAAGTCATGGAGGGTTGGGATAATTGCGCTTGAGCGCGCAGGCCCCATTGTTAGGGAGGGTAAGGGAGTAATTAGGATTTACGCCTTGCACGCAGCACACTGATTAGCATATCAACAGCGCCCGGGGAACCGCAGTGCACGAGCCGATTGTTCAGCGCAGCATCCCCTTTGAGGTAGGGAGGATAAATAGAGGAGCGGAGAGGGGAAATCGCCCTTCTCTCCAGGCCAGCGGACCAGCAGGGGTTCCAGCCAGCGACCCGGACGTCCGTGCGACGCATCGAGGTACGCTGTTAGCGCAGAGAGCAGCGAACCTCCGCGGGCACCAAACAGTGAGTGGGGAGGTGAAGTAGGGTATCGTAAGCCGATAAATAGGGAATAGGTACAGGTTTAGTGGAATAGGCCAGCCTCGTCGACTCACTGATTCAACATCAATTCGCAGGTGGCCTATAATAAGTCATTAATAGCGAAGCGTGGTCTCGCGTGATCTTGTCGTGCAGTGTGAGCGTGTGGGTGCGCTGTGTGCACAGTGGTTCGCCACGTGAGTGAGCGCTGCGCGGAGCTGAGCGCGCGGGTTGCGCGTGAGTACGCAGTGATTCTGTGGTGCTGCGGCTCGCCTCGGGGGAGCGCTGCGCAGAGCGGTGCGAGAGTAGGTGTCGCGTGTGTTCACTCCGTGTGTGATACAGGTGCGCGAGTATAACGTGAGTTGAGTTGGAGTGCGCGGAGCGGCGTGTGTGTGGGCGTGCGTGCGTTCGCTCCGCGTGGGTTGCAGGCGCGCGATTAGGAAAGGGAAGTATCGTAGTAGAGAGGGGCAGAATACTAATCGGTAATTAACCATGCCCATTACGCGGACCCGCGGTGGAGGGGAACCCGCGGGCGACGGCTCCCCCGCCATAGGTGAGGAACTTAGCAGCGGGGGGGCGATTGATGATGCTAGCCCGGCCGTTAGCATTATCGAGGGAGGGATCTCGGGGGCTAGCGACCCCCACATAAGCAACAAAATAAGGTGTATTTACTTTTAGTGAAGCATTGAACCGGTTAAACCGTTAACCGATTGATATTTTATTAGGGGGGTGGTGGGGTTAAGTTTTTAATTTCGGTTCAAGAAAATATAGCGGTTAATTCTGGTTTTCCGTTACGGTTTTTGGTTGCGACTGATTAGTGTTGTTGAAGGCAGTCTACAACTCAAACAGCTCTTCTCTTAGATTCGAAGCGTTCGCGACTGCAGGAATTACTCTTTGGTTCTTTCGGCAAAGTCACGTATAAATAAATTAAATAATAATAGAATACGACGTTTCGATTGCAACACAAGCAGCCATCATCAGGTACGAATTGAATGAGAAAACAAACATAGAAATTTTCGATTTAAAGCTTTCGTGACTGCGGGGATTCATATTCTTGGTTCTTTCGGTGAAGTCACGTAGAAGGGGAATAATAAAATAATACAAATAAAACATAATTAAATAATTCTCACGACGTTTCGGCCACAACGCAAGCAGCCGTTCGGCACCTTCGTTATCAGCGGCATTTGTGCAACACAAGCAAACCTCTGGACTGGTATCGACAGTCGGTTTCTCGTCATCATCTGCAGCAAGAGGGCTGCCCTTTGCTTGCCAGATGATTCATCGGCAAGGACTGGCTTCGACACTCAAGTGTCTCATCAGCTCGCTGGAGCCAATGTTGGCGAACTTCCAGATGATTCATCGGCAAGGACTGACTTCGACACTCAAGTGTCTCATCAGCTCGCTGGAGCCAATGCTGGCGAACTGCCAGATTGTTGACGGGCTCGGGCCCCGGCTCTGTGAGATGCGCGTCTCAGTTTGACGCTAAACCTCGACAACACACGACACGGACAGACGAGAAGGCGTTTCGACGAGGGTTGGATTGGAGGAAATGTGGGGTCTGGATCGTCAAGATTATGAGGGGTGGGACACGTGGTTAACCGCGTGAGATCACCCAGCCATCATCACGCGCAGAGGGAGCGCTACGAACCCGGTGGTGAATATTAGAACCCGTCGCGAGCCTCCTCGTCTAGGTCGACTGGGCCTTAAATGAGTACCTGGTGCGATGTGTAAACCTCAGTACTGGGGAGACAAAGGCGGCCTGCCGTGGTGCTCGCCACCCCACCCCCTCGTGTGCCGTGCCGGCCTTCATAGGCGCTCGCAAACAGCACTTGCTCCAAAAGTCTGCTAAAGGCTATGCGGGCGATCTTTGGCTACATAACACGCGGAGGGGCTGGGGGTGTTGCGCCAACTTCATGGAGGAGATTCGCGATTGATGTGTTGGGTGAACTGGCCGCGTCGACAGAATGTGTGTCGTGAATCCTCCTCCACCCGACACGGCCAATCGAACGAGTTGTCACGTGACGGACAGCGGTGGCCAATCGTGTCACTGCTGTTGCCGTCTCGCTGGGCCCTCGCAGCCGGCACCTTGAGGCACGTCGCGAGAATTGGTCGAGAAGCCTGCAGGCTCGGGATGAGTCACGAGCAACGGAGGGGCTCGTGTTAACAACACAACACCAGTTGTGTTGTGTTTCGTGTGTTGTCCCCCCCCCTCCGCACGGTTGGCTACGTACGGTGCGAAAGAAGTTCAACAAACACGCAGACACAAGATCGCCAAACCAGCGGGGAGAGGCAGACAGCCGTGGGAGCGGACGCCAGAATCGGCAGACGAAGCGTCGGGGCGAGGATGGAGACGGGGGGGGCAGGAGGCCGAGGTGGTGGAGGTGGTGGTGGTGGTGTGAAGGAGACACGCTGTCTGATGCTCTTTGAGTATTTAGATTCGCCACGAAGGGCGCTCACGATTGCCTTGAGTTGGATTTGCGTATCGAGCCAGGGAGGATCCCGATAGAGGAGTGAGAGAGAGAGGATTCCCTTCCTGCCTCTAAGATCAGCAGTTCACCTGCAGCGTTGATTCAGCCAAGCCTGGCTCTGCTGCTGCTGCTGATGATGAGACGCTGCGTGTCAAAGCCGTACTCCCAGAAGGCCGTGCGGCTGATGTGATTTGTAGGAACAGATTTTTGTTTAGTAAAATTATTTTTGATGTCGCGAGACGGGTAACGGACACGTGATTTAGTTTGTTCGCTATATTTTCCACGAAGACGCGAACGATTAGGGGGCGCCACGGTCGCGAGATGTTAACCACCTCTCCTTGGTATACAGGAGGTCGTGGGTTGGGTTCAATCACGACCCTGACGACGCCTGTTGTCGATCTGAAGTTTGCGTGTGTCTCTCCCAGCGGTCGCGTAGATTTTTTTCACCGGGTCCTCCGGTTTTCCCCCTCCACATTTAGAATCAACATTACGCGTCTAGAATATTTGGCTGCTATACATGTGCACGTGACGATACGTCACTTCGTGAACTCTCGTTTGTCATTAGCCAGGTCGCTGCAGAAAGAGAGCTATGGAGAGCTCAGTGGGGCCTCACCTGGTATCATTTAAAAAATAGTTCGTCGTGTTTTTTATTGTTTTATCACTTCGGCCATGAAACCCAAACATCGCGGACTAAGAAGAGCGTGACCACCACGTGACCACCGCGTGACCACCGCTTACCTGTCGCGTGACCACGTGGTCCTGCACGCGCGCGGTCCTGCACAACCGACGAAGGGGAAGTGAGACTGCGATTGAAGCGAGACAGCGAGGGAAGCGAGAAGCGAGACCGCGAGGTGCCCAGTTGAATGCGCGGGACGATTGCGGCGCCACCTTGGAAATGGCGCGGAGAGACACGGAGAGAGGGGCCCGTGGACGAGACGAGCGCACCGCGCCCGGCGAGGTCGCGACTCCCCTCCCCTCGCTGGCGTGATCGATGTGCTCCGCGCTCCCAGACTACTTCCTACGCGAATTGGCCAAACACCGCAGCAGCAGCAGCAGCAGCCTCCTGAACAAGACGTCTTGAGACTCGGAGAGGCTTTTTTTTGATGCGTCAATAAGGGCCACTGTTATAGAGCTATCATCACGTGGGAGATCAGCGCTCATATGATGCTCGGGTCATCCCTCCACCCTCCCTCACTCTCTTTTACAATCAGAGGAAACAAGAAGAAGATGCTCGGTGTAGTCGGCACTTTGCTTCGTTCATCATTTAGTTTTTTTAATGCTTTGCTTCATGTAACCCCCCCCCTCCCCTTTTTAAATGAAAGATGTAACACCCTCTCCCTTCATTTGTCTTCCACTCTCTCAACTCCCTCCTCCATAACTCCCCAGTTCCTATCTCATATTCTCTCTTTTCTCCCGTCGCACTCCCTCTGCCTCCAACCCCTGTCTCTCCATTCACTGCCCTCCCTCTCTCTCCACGCTCCCCCTCCCTCTCTCCCTCTCGCGTGCTCTCTCTCTCTCCCTGACGCTCCCCGAGCCTTTCCCTCCCACCCTCGCCCCTCACTTTCTCACACCACTCTCTCTCTCTCTCCCTCTCTTACATTTCTCCCATGGCCTCTCTCTCCCTCCTCCCCCCACCACCACCACTATCTCTTATTCTCGCCTTCGCCTCTCCCTCTAACCCTCTCCCCCGCTCTCTCTCTCTCTCCCTTTCTCACACCACTCTCTCCCTCCCCCTCTCTTACATCTCTCCCATTCCAACTCCCACCCTCTCCCACCAAACCCCTCTCCCACCAAACCCCCCCACCGCCTCCGTTCGCGATGACCCTCATTTAGCATCACTACGGCCATCACGGGGAGAGTGCGGAGCGATCGAGAGAGAGCGCGGGAGAGAGAGAGAGGAATCGCGTGGGCGGGAGCGTTCAGAACAGGGAGCGGAGAGTGGAGAGAGGCAGGGGGAGGAGCGGCCGAGGAGAGGCAGGGAAAGGGAGCGAGCGAGCGAGAGAGAGAGAAGGGCGAGAGGACAGGAGAGGGAGGAGAGAGCGAGACAGCGTGGATAGACGAGAAACATGGCGAACCGTCACGCGCACGGATTCTGCAGAGGCGACGGCGCGACCCCTGGGGGTGCGAGGGGGGTGACGGGGGCCGCCGCAGAGACCCCGGCGAGAGGGGGCCGACCGTGAGACGCAGCTGCTGCCCAACGCTGCCCACAACCACCACCATCACCGCTGCCCACCACCACCACCACCGCCGCTGTGCTGCCCGCTGCTGCTGCTCCCCCACCCACCCACCCCGCGCGGGGAGAGGCGATGGATCCCGGGCAGCAGCTGCGATGGAGCTGCGTGTCTTGGCCGCTCGACCTCATCCTCAACAAGTTCCGCCTGCCGCTGATCGTGAGGCCAGACCCAGGTCGGTCGCGACATCGGGCGCGACATCATCGCGATGCGTGTCGCGATCTACGGGGCGAGGGAGGGGGGGGTCAGGCGGGGGACGCGGCGACTTCGCTTTGATGTCATCCCGAGTGCGTGTGTGTCACTGTGTGTCACTGCGTGTGTGTCACTGATTGTGTGTCACTCGTGTGTCACTCGTGTGTCACTCGTGTGTCACTGTGTGTCACTGTGTGTCACTGTGTGCGTGTCGCAGTGTGTGCGTGTGTCATGAGTGTGTGTCACTGTGAGTGTCACTGTGTGTGTCACCCTATCACACTGTGTGTGTGTCACCCTATCACATCGTGTGTGTGGCACTGCGAATGTGTCGAGGTGCATGTGTCTTCGTATTGTTTTAGTGTGTCACTGTGTGTATCACTGTGAGTGTGACTGTGTGTGCGTGTGTCACTGTGTGTGAGTGTGCATCACACTGTGTGTATATAGCGGTGTGCGTGTGTCAGCTGTGTGTGATGATGTAGGTGTGTGTGGGCGAGAGTGAGTGTAGGTGTGAGTCTTTGTATCACTGTGTGACTGTAGAGGTTTGTGAGTGTGTGAGTGAAGAACGCTGCTGGGAAGTTGGAGGCAGTCGCCTTCCAGCTACTACGGAGGGCAGAGGAGCGACGCTCACAACAACGAGCAGAGCGCCGGGCGGTTAAACGCAGAAAATTAGCACGGTGGGGAGCACAGGTGGTGCATCTGCCAGTGCATCTCAGTCGACCCGTGGCACCTGCGTCTGCCCCGTGACCTCCTGCCAGCGAGCCTTCGACACTTCACGTGGCCTCAACGTGCACCTAGCCTGGCACAAGCGCCGTGGTGACGTCACCGCCACTTAGTGGTGAATGGCGGTGGTTGTTGTTGTTGTGTGAGTGATCACGTGTGTGTGAGTGTCATGGTGTGAGTGATTTGTGAATGTGAGTGCGTGTGTGAGTGAACCGGTCCTAGGCCTCCCCTAGGTCGACTCGGCCTCAAATGAGTACCTGGTGCGGTGTGTAAACATCGCCACTGGGGAGACAGATGGGACCCGGCGTGGTGCCGGCCGGCCTGGCGTGGTGTTGGCTGGACAACCCTCTCGTGTACTGCCCCGGCCTTCATAGGTGCTCGATAACAGCACTTGCCCTAACAATCTCTTTAGGCTATCGGAGGGATCTTTGTCTTTATGTGTGAGTGAGAGAATGTTATTGTGTGTGTTCGCTTATACAGTTCGCTACTGTGTGTGTGATAGTACGGCTGTGTGTGTGTGTATGAAAGACCGTGTGTGTTCATGTGGGGAACAGTAGTGTCAGTGGTTAACGCGCTGCGCTACGAACCCGGCCACCCGAGTTAGATTCCCGCTCACGGCCAACATCAGTGACGATGATCTGAACCGGTCCTGGGCTTCCCCGAGGTCGACTCGGCTTTAAATGAGTACCTGGCGCGGTGCCTAAACGTCGCCACTGCTGTCACAAAGGCGTGGGAGTGCACTTCCGGCCTTCATAGGCGCTCGCTCGCACTTGCCCCAACAGTCTGTGACAGGCTATACGGGGGGTCTTTGTCTTTGATGTGGTGGTGTTGGTAGCAATGATGATTACAACGGTGCTGCTGCTGATGATCGTGGCTGTTGTAACGATGTCAATTATCCAGTGGCAGTGGTGAGCACGTGGAACCGACTTGTCCTTCCCCCGTATCTCCGATTAGCACGGTCGGCTACGTACGGTGCGAAAGAAGTTCAACGTACAGTACGTTATTGCGCACGATGGCAGCAACAGCAGCATCATCAATATCGATGCCAATGTCGACGATGTAGTGCCGCACCCACCCCCCCGCCCACCACCTCCCCCCCACCACGCCTCTCCTTTCCCCCCCATCCCCCCCCCTCATCTCCCCCCCACCTCCCCCCACCCTCCCTTAATTGGGTTGCAGCCTCCCAGTTAATTAACACAATGTAAAACAATCTCCGCCATGCCCGTCATTAGCGCCACATCCGAACGCACGCGCCGGGCGTGGAGGCGAGGGTTGGTGGATCACGCAAAGATTTGTGAATCTCCCCCCCCCTCCCTCCTCCTGCCCCCACCTCTCCTGGGCTGTGTGCGAGGTGGCCCAGGAGATTGTAGCGCAGAAAATCGGGT